TTTGGATAGATGTGCTACCCGTATACAAGTAAAACATAGAAAGTCAACCTTATCTCTGGTTTCCTTGAACTAGATCAATTCATAAAGACAAAGCCCATCCCTGAGATTATATATATTTTTTCTATATTCGTTCCTCTCGTTTTCTATGTACCTGGTTCAACTCCTTACCCTCATTTCCATAAGACAAAAACATAGCCCTTATCATTCATCTGGTCCAACCAAGTGTTGACGGAAGGAACATCAATGACCCAAGGGTCAGAGAGTGGTGTCCAAAGGGGAATCAGGCTCTGGGTGTGTTTTGCTTGGCTTCTTCTTGGAAGAAAAGAGGGAGAAAAGAGGGGAAAAGAGAGAAATAGAGAAATAAAGGAAGCAAAGAGGGAGGGAGCAAGAAAGAAAATGTTTTCAGAAAAAGCAGAAACTGGTCAGGTGCGGTGGCTCATGCCTGTAATTCCAGGACTTTGGGAGGCTGAGGCAGGCGGATCATGAGATCAAGAGATCAAGACCAGCTTGGCCAACATGGTGAAACCCTGTCTCTACTAAAAACACAAAAATTAACTGGGCGTGGTGGCACACACCTGCAATCCCAGCTACTCGGGAGGCTGAGACAAGAGATTTGCTTGAACCTGGGAGGTGGAGGTTGCAGTGAGCTGAGATTGCGCCATTGCACTCCAGCCTGGTGAGAGAGCAAGACTCCACCTCAAAAAAAAAGAAAAAAAAATGCAGAAACTGCCTAATTTGGCCATAAGCCTCATCATTTCCCTAGTGTCTTGCACTGATTCCATCACACCTTTTGATCATTTGCTTGGCACTAAAGGCAGGAATTCTCACATCCAGTCCAAACTTTTCGTTTTATAGATAAGGAAATAGGAATCCAAGAACAGTTTCCTTAACTTGCCTAAAGTTACACAGATGATTATCAGTAAAGCAAAAGTTAGGTCAGTGACACGGCTCCTAGTTCCACATTCTCTCCTCTGACTCCACCACACTCTTCCCATAAATTCATCTGAAGACTGAACACCAAAATGTTGAAAGAAAAGGGTAAAAACAGAATGCAAAATGTATGTAAAAAAGAAATTATGAGTTCCTGTCATACAAGAAGTTTGTTTCGTTTTCCCTTATACCCACCCAACCAAAGGTGGCTGGGAATCAGGTGAACAGGTAAGTCATGTATACAGCTGTTGTTGATAAAATTGTATCTATTCCCAACCCTGAAGCAAGAGATGAGACATGATTCCGTTATTAAGACTAGCATACTACATTTCTAGCAATTTCTCTCCTTTCTGATATCCCCTTACACTCAAGCGTGCAGTACTTAAAACAGAGCCTGGATTGCCTGTGATTGTGGCTTTTCTCACTCTTTCTTGGCCATAGAGTAAATGAACGCCTAACCATACTGCCAAGAGACCTCCCAAATCACTTCCAATTCTAGATTAAATTCTGTGGCTCCCAGGATATCCAGGATATGTATACTTGTAACCACACTGGAAACTTTCAGACCATTTACTATGCAGGAATAATATAACAGATCTGAGGGGGGCAACAAAGCCTTCTGGTTTTTCTGTCAGAACTCTCGTTTGAAGAAGAATCGTTAAACATCTCCAATTTCTTGTAAAGGGGCATAAGTGACCCAAAGCAAGAGATATCTTTTGAGAAGTCAAACAGCAAGTACACTGAAAAGTGTAAGGGGATAGATGAAAGATGAATGTGGAGCTGCTCCAAGATCATCAGGGTCAAGGAGAGTCAGGGATCTCATTTTAAAAGCAAGAAAGTGGCAGGGCGCAGTGGCTCACACCTGTAATCTCAGCATTTTGGGAGGCCAAGCTGGGTGGATCACGAGGTCAGGAGAGCAAGACCATCCTGGCCAACATGGTGAAGCCCCGTCTCTACTAAAATACAAAAAACTAGCCAGGAGTGGTGGCACATGCCTGCAGTCCCAGCTACTTGAGAGGCTGAGGCAGAGGAATCACTGGAACCCAGGAGGCAGGAGATTGCAGTGAGCTGAGATCCCACCAATGTACTCCAGCCTGGCAACAGAGCAAGACTCCATCTCCAAAAACAAAAAAAAGACAGGAAAAAAAGGCAAGAAAGTAAATGCTGATTTGGTTTTCCCATTAGAACTTCAAAATCTTGATATACCATAATAATATCATAATAGTACCAAAATTAAAGAAATGAGAAAAAGATCTTTTTAAAATGGAAATACTATCAAGGAAACAGGAAAAGCATTTTGCATTTTTATATGGCTATTTCCTAGCTAAATATAAATGAGGGGTTATTAGTAGTGACTACGTTACTTACAAGCCAGAGGAATAACTGGTGAGGAAAAACCAATAATGTTTATTAGGCTTCCATTAATCATACACTAGGCAAGACATTTTGAGGAAGTAATGGTGGATAGACAAAACCAAAACAAAATAAGACATAGAACTTTAAACTATATTTTGTCTTACTACATAGTAATAAAATTATTAAATTATTAGGCACACTCAAAATAAGGAACTTCCACATAACTCCACCACTGCTTACCAAGAAACAATATTTAGCTTTAAAGGGCATTATTGGCAGGGCACGGTGGCTCATGCCTGCAATCCCAGACTTTGGGAGGCTGAAGCGGGCAAATTACTTGAGGTCAGGAGTTTGAGACCAGCCTGGCCAACATGGCGAAACCCAGTCTCTATTAAAAATACAAAAATTAGCCGGGCATGGTGGCCTATAGTTCCAGCTACTCGGGAAGCCGAGGCAGGAGAATCGCTTGAGCCCGGGAGGGAGAGGCTGCAGTGAGCCAAGGTGGCACCACTGCACTCCGGCCTGAGGACAGAGCAAGACTCCATCTCTAAATAAATAAGTACAGGAAATTATGCTACTCAAAAATGTCAACTTATATTTGTGAAGAACTTCTGACTGTATTTAAGTTCAGGGTTAATTCTGTTTTGTTTCCTTCCAGAAGTTGTCATATAAGGTAACATACAAAAATAAAAGTGCTACTAAATAAATAATATGTCCTGAAAAACCCATAAACATTTCAGGCTACATTTCTTGATTCATTGTTAAAATTATGACTACATTTTTTAAAAAGTTATTTAACTTTTTCTATCCCTTATATTTCCTCTTGGGGATATGTCTCCACTACCTTATACTGTTATGACACTAAATTTAAATTTTACTTCAAACTAAAAAATGTATTATCCTTGAATGAAAACTCTTCATTCTGTAATTATTGAAAGCAGTACCACTAGTATTAAACATATTACTATAACATTAATTTAAAATGAACCCCTTTATTGCGTAAAAATGCCTAATGTTAAATAGCCTCCAACAATTACATAAAGGCTTAAAATAAGGTCAAAGGAAGAGAAGCATCAGGAAAAACTTTCAATGAAAACAAAAAATTGCCAAAAATTACTCATATCATTGTGCATAGTATTTTTCTTGCTTCCAAATGAAAAGTTAGAAGTCCTTATTTCGTATCTAACAGCTCTTGAAACATCAGTAGGTTGAGGAAGGTGTTCATTAAGACCAATTTTTTTACTCCTGCAGTGTGAATACTGAGAATGTCAGTTTGTAACACAATTGACAGACGTACAATACTTAATAACGCTTATAAAATCTTGAGTGATGAGAATATAAAGTTTCTAATATTTAAAAATCTTCACTTTGCTCTAAGTATCAAGCATAAATAACAACATTTAATGAGTGCTTGTCTACTAAGCACTGATCTCTACCCTTATTTTCTAACATAGTAATCTATAATTTTTTTTATTGCCTTTCTCCCCAACTAATTTAGAGGCTCCATGGCGATAGGAACTTTGTCTTGTTCCTTACTGCATGTCGAGCACCTGATATGCTTAACACATAGTAGGCACTGACACATAGTAGGCATATTACTCAGTACACCATATGCTGCATAACTTAAGTGTTCTAAATGTCGTAAACAGCCATAACCTAGAGGGTTATGAAAATGCAACAGAATGGAAAGCAGAGTTTATTACACTTAGAATAAAAATTCTTCAGTGAAACAGTTTATATGTACATATATGCCACATATAAAATTTATTTCTTACTATAGGTAAACATTTTAAGAAGTCTTAAAATCACTGCTTTATGGGCGTTATTTCATTTGCTCCCCACAGTAACGCTGTGGACAATTCCATAACTTCCATTATAACAGAATCGAAATTTCTAGATGTTATATATGCTGTCCAAGGTAACAGCGCCATCTAAAAGTACAGACATTATTAAGTCCAACAGAGCTGAAAGGGAAATAAATAAAGTACAGACATTACCTGTACAGATACTTGCTCATAGGGTAACGTAGTAAGAAAATCTGAATTAATAAGGTTTTGATAATAGTAATTACGGCTTGATTAGTAAAGACAAACATAAGCTTTGAAGGCAGACAAGCCTGATAATACCTGACTCTGCAACTAACTAGCTGTGGGCTCTAGCCTGTAATTCAACCTCTCTGAGCTTTCGATTTCTCCATGTGTAAACTAGACATGTTCAGCTGCAAATGATTAATTGAATACAAATAGCCTAGCCCAATTAAATGGGGGCTGTAGTGATTAAAATAATTATGTGTCCCCCCCCACACACACACACACTGATCCTACAAATCACATTCAATCCACTATGCCATACTTCAAATGTGTAAAAACTGTGAATATGACTTTTATTGGATTAAACAGCAAAGTATGGGAACTGGGCAAAAGTGGCATAGAGCCATCCAAGAGTTTCTGCCGTCGCTGGTTGAGAAACATGCCCAAGTTAAGATCAAGGAGTTGGTTCAGGTAACTACGGGAATCTAAGGAAACAACGTTGCTTAACTGTAAAAACAAACTCAAACTATTTCATCCTCCTCAAAAGATCACAGCAACACCCATCTTGCTCCTCTGTAGCCTAGCTGGGGCAGAACACAGGTGTTAGGAAACGCACCTGGTCTGCTCCCGCCCACTAGGCCCCGGGCATCTCGGGACTAGGAACAGAGGTTTGGAGCAACTCACCCCGGAGACTCCGTTGATACTGCCCCAGAATCTCCTCCAGGGTAGAGTTCTCCGGGGACTTCGCCATTCACACTCTAGGCTTAGAGCTGGGAGTTACGGGGGGAAATGTCCAGCTTTCTCGCTTCCGAGAACAACAGGCCGGTGGCCGGGGAGCGCCCGCCAGCTTCCTGCCGCGGCTGTCACAGGGGAGCCTAGAATCCCGCACGGAGCTCTTGGGGGCTATTCCCACCCACGGGCCCTCCCGGTGGACGTCGGGAGTTGTAGTCCTCGGGTGCAGAGCCTGCAAGCTTGACAATCCTGAGAGCCTTCCAGCTACACTACAATTCCCAGAGACCACCGCGCCACGGGCGCTAGCTTGGACGGTTTGGCGGCCAGAGCCTGTTGCCAAGAGACAGGTTTCCAGGCCCCGCCCTTTTCCTCCAGCCCAGCCTGGTTTAGTCCCGTCTCCATCCCATCCTTCAGCTGCCTGGACCACCACCCAAATGTCAGAAAGGGCTCTCTGAAGGCCTTGACGCTTGGAAATTTGCTAACATGCAGCAGTTGATCCCTAAGTCTACTCAAGGACGCAGATAGTAAGCTCTGAACCCTGCTTCAGTTGCGATATTTTTCAAAATGGTCGAATAAATCCTCAAGAAATAGAAACTCTAAATCTTCCAAACAGCCTAGATTGTAAAGGCGGCCGACACTACAACTCCTAGCATGCCCAGCAACCAGACCTCCACTTGGAGTTGGCGCTCTGCCCGCTGGGAACTGTAGTCCTGGTTGGTTGCGGTCCCACCTAACGCCAAGGTCCTCTTCATTGTTCAAGCTGGTCTTTCGGGGCACGCCTGCGCAGTGGGCAAGCTGGAAAAGCGAGTGGGTGAGACCCTCGCACAACCCCTTTTCATTGTCTGTTTCTGGCGCCTGCGCAGTAAGGGATCGTTGGAACTGGGCAGGAGGAGGGGATAGGGTCCGGCTCCTCGCCATTTCCCGAGGCGCCTGCGCACTACGTAGCCGCTCTTTGCCGTTACCGCTATGTGTGGGGCGTGTGTGGAATAACGTTATTGCCCAGCGGAGCTGAGGGCCCCGGAGCTCGACCGCAGCGGCAGCGACAGCGACGACAACAGCGGCGACGACGACGACGAGGTCGGGGGAGGACGGCGTGCGAGAGACTCACGGAACGCGACGCGCCCCGCCTCCCCTGTCCGGTCCCTCTCTCCACGGTGAGGGGTAAGTGATGCGATCTGCTGCTCGGTGTGGGCGCCGCCGCCGCCGCGGCTGCTTTTCCACATCCTGCTTCTCTGGTTTGCGGCGAGGACTCGGGCGCGGCCCGCCGCGGGGCGGGGGTGCGGGGCTGGACCGCGAAGGGGGCGCTTCCCGGATGCTCCGCGCGGCGCCGCCACCCCGATCCTCTCCCCGCCCGGGACCGGGGGCTTGACGGGGCCACCCCTCCCATCCCCCGCCCGCCGCCCCCGGGAGCTCCAGTGCTGCGGGCCCCCGGGAGCTCCAGTGCTGCGGGCCCCCGGGAGCTCCAGTGCTGCGGGCCCCCGGGAGCTCCAGTGCTGCGGGCCCCTGGCTTTCCCGAGCCCCTTGCCCGCCGCCTCGGCGTCTCCTCAGTGCGTTGAATCATTTCAGCTTTCGCCTGGCTTTGTGCAGCCCTTCCCCCTCCGCCGTAGCAGTTTGCTAGGGGTGCGGGCGGAGCATTGGAGGGAATGGCTGCGCGGCCGCTGGGGAAGGGATTTCTCCCCGATTGGAGCAGCTCCCGGGGCCGATCCCTTTTGTGTGGCTGGTTTTGGGGTGTGAGGCGGTTGGCGAGGTCAGGCGAGGAGCCTTTCGGACGCGTTGGGAGGGCGTGGAAGACGCGGTGTCGCGCACCGTGCCAGGCGACTGCACCCCGCGGAGGCTCTGGCTCCGTAGTAAACCTGGGGGAGGAGAGAGTGGCTTCCTGTCGGCTTCATTGTCCTAGGATTCAAATATAGGGTTTGGGTACGGTTCGCTTCCATTTTATGCAAGCGAGAAAAAGATAACATTTGCAGCTTCCTAACACAGGGCGGGAAGACGTGGGGTTTGATTCTAAGTCACAGAATCTCTGTTCGGTGGTGTTCCGTAGAGTTTTATTTTATTTTATTTTATTTTATTTTTTGAGGAATGTAAGGAAGACAGACTATGTCTGCTGGAGTCCAAGCACTGCCAAGGTGATCAATATAAAATTACTAGATGACGTTGGAGCCTGGGCTAGAAAGGGCCTGACAACGAAGCTGTTGTGTCAGGGAAATGAACCAGCAGAATTGTTTTCTCATTGGGCGGGTAATGCATTTATGTTCCTGAGGGAATAGATACATCTTGCTGTTTTATTTTTTAAGCAAGTAAAACAAACGAAACAACTGGCCCCGTATAAATCTGTTTGGGAAGTTAACTCATTTTTATTCTCTTAATGAAAATTCAGACATTGGGGAGGAATTTGGCGAAGCAGGCGATGCATTTGATTGAAAATGCATCCTTTAAAATGATTTCCTCCTTAAGCTTACAACGCATACAGCCGTTTGCTGTCGTTGCTACTTGAAACACACCAGAAGAGAAAAAGCAGGATGGGGAGGAGCAGGTGGAGGAATAATGTGAGATGAGAGAGTGACATTATGACTATAGTATCTGGATCTTCACTGGTATATCCCTAACTGGATATGCTTCAGAGACTTAGGAATTCAGTGCTGGAAACAGTACGTTGATGAATAGCAAGTTATGTATTTTTCTGTCATTATTTTTAAAAAGTAAAACTAGGGTTGCCTTTAGTTCTTCCTAACTTTGGAGATAACACAGAAGAGCCTAAGTACACTTGACAGAAGAAAACACTCAAACACAGAAAGTTAACTGACTTGTCTGCCCAAGCCAACCTGCTCATGTAAGGCAGAGCCAAATGAAACTAAAGGCCCACTCTGCAGAGTGATCTTTCCTGTGTCCCCCAGCCCCTTTGACCCTGTGAAAACGTAGAGAACGCTTCCCTACGTGCTCCTTGAGTAGGCTGTGACTATCCGTGAACTTGATTCTCACCGTTGTATTTATCTAGTTCTTGCCTTTGTCATGTAAAAGTAGGAATTCTCCTGAAATGGACCTTTAGTTTTATAAAGTAACTTACTAAATGAGGAAAGATGTCCTAACATGTGCTTTCAACAAACTGTTGCAGTGTTTTCCCTACTACTTAATAGTAGCCGTATTTTAATATTATTTCTTGAAATTCAGTAGTATTTTATAATAGTATGATGATCAACTCTATAGACAGTGTTGAAAATAAAATTTCCGCATAAAAAGAACCTATGATGTTTATTTTGATACAATTAATGAGCTGTGATCATTAACGGATTACTTTCAACTTAGAATTTAACTTTTAAGATATATTAACTTTATGTTTTTTATTGGGTTGAGTTTTACCATAAATTGCTTTTTATCTTGCCTTATAATTTTAATCGTTTTCATCTTACATTGCATTTTAATAGACCTTTTTAAAGGATGTATTGTTTATCTTAAATTTCAGCTTTAAAGATCTGTAACTAAATTTCAGTGTGTGGAATTATATGCAATCATGCTTTAAATGTATTTTATTGGTAAATTTCATTGTGTTCTGAGATTATTTTGTATGGAAATAATCTGTCTGTTCCCTATTTTAACATGAGGTCGTGAGGTTTTTTTTGTTTGTTTTTGTTTTTTTTACTGTAAGCTTTAGCATACATTCTGCATATTGATCCTATTATGGTACTTTTTAAAATTGTGCTTCATGATTTGTGTGATTTGTTCTAAGTATCAATTTCTTGCTCTTTTTTATCTGCTGAAAAAACTAGTTTTATTATTGTATCTGGTTGCAGTTAGATAATGCTTATCTGGTACTAAATATTGTATATGCTTAAGCTTTTTGGTCAAAATGATTTTTATTCCACAAAATTACATTTCTGAAAAATATTTTTTCTTTACTAATTAATAGGTAGACTTTTCTTTCTCATCTGTCTTGAACACTGGTATGTTAAGCAGTGTACTCTTCAACTGTGTATCTAACAGACAGCGTATTTAATTGCCAACTAAAATATCTGTACAGTTGCAGATTATTCTGGGAGTATGACAAAAGAGCAATCACATACCATTTGAAAAATGCTTAGTGAGTAGATAATATTGACTGGAGCATTCAATGTTGATCTGTTTCATTAAGAAATGGGATACTCTTGATGGAAAGAAGTATCAGACCATCTTTATTTCATTAACAACCAAAATTTCTATTCAAATACCCTAGGTTTTGATTTATTTACTCACATGTTTCATGAAGGATTGTTCAGTGATGAGTTAGCCATTGTGCGAGATAAAAAAACATGTGTCTAGTAGTGTGGTTGATTAAACTGGATATATTATCCAGTGTAGTTGAAATGTTTTAGCCAAAGCCAGTGACATAGCCAAATGTATGTTACTGGTAAAGCCTACTTTTATATCAAATAAAGGTGGAAAAACAAAACAGCAAAAGCAAATTAAAGAAAAACCTCATAAAATTTTCTTACATACAAGCAGGGATTGCGTAAAGTATGGAAGTGGAAAAGAATCTCAAGCATGCATTGTTTAGGTCTGAAAAACAATTGAGACATAGAAGAGAACAAGTCATTTTTAAAGTATATCAGCAATTAATAAATGATATGGAAAATATTATCCTCTGAAACACAATGTTTATTGAATAGTTGAATAATACCTGCTATATATTAACCGTCTCCTAAGTGCCAGGAAGTGTATGTGTGTGTGGTATGTGTGTATTTAATTTATGCAGCAGACTTCTAAATTAAGGTATTTTTACACATTGAGAAAATTTGAGGCATAGAGTTAGTGAATAACTTTGCCTCTGTGTCACACATTACTTAAGTTAGAGTCTGTAACTGAACCTTTGTCTTTTTGGCTAAAGCCAAAATTCTTTCTACTCATCTTTTTTAGTAAGTAAAAGGGTACCACTTATTTCCTTACTCTAGTTCATAAAATTTTAGAATTGAAGGGAACTTTAGAAGTCAGCTCATACAATGTGCCACTTACTACTCTGAGATGTAATTGGATCCAACTTCTCTATAACCCTTCCCTAGACATAGGAAACCCTGTTCAGCTTTCAAAAAGTGTAAGAGGAAGATCTTACTTACATTGAGCTAGTAGCTGCTTTTACCATATAACTTCTTCTCACTGGTTGCAATTCAGTCTTCAGGAGTA